TGAAGATTTTAAATCAACCTTGTCAGTAATTAATAAAATGCAGGTCACTGTTAAATTCCTAGAAACATTTGGGTATTATTCAGTTTAAAGTTACAATTTACTGCCTTGTATGTGTGTATTTTTAAATTTTTCTCTTTAAAAGTTTTTATCACTAGTGAAAGTTTCTTAGGGAGAATTTGTATGTAGCTATACACATATGATTAAGAAAACAAAAATTCAAAGCTTTAAACTTCTTGGCAAATGATACAGTGTGTAGAATGAATGTGTGGACAGTCCAACTCTTTAAAAAGATAATTACCCTCATCTTTAATTCTCCACTTTTGCAGCTCTTCATATTATTTCTAATTTTGCACTTTTCAGCAATTCCAGCCACAGAGCTGATGAATTTAATATCCTTCCACTGTTCTCCCCCTACTGGAACAGTTATTCGTTACAGTCTGTAAGGAAAGTACAGTATTTCACTACAGAGAGCACACTTAAGGAGGGGCCTTGCCTACCATACCTGATAGCAGAATAGAGCCCTGGCTCTGTCTGAAGAAGAGAAAATGAAAGAGAGAGATGTGGTCAGAGGAGGGAGAGAGAATAGGAGAACAGGCTCAGCCAATTTCTGGAAGAAAAAAAGAAACCAAAGCCAACACTTTCTAATTCAGTGGATCTGAGTTTCTTGTTACTCAAATGAAGGCAGTCCTTTGGGGTTGATAATGAAGAATCGCTGTTACCAACCCTGCAATTTGCACAGATAAATATACTGTAGTTGCTTGTTTTCAAGTTTATTTAAATGTTGTATTGAGACCAGTGTGTTTTTTTCTAAATAGAAAGGCTGGTTGTGTGGGATCTTGCATCTTAGAAAATTTTTGGAAAGCTTCAGCCACTTTACATTAAACTGGACTTAAAAAACTGGGATGATCAATTCCCCCCCCCCACACTTATTGATGTCTGTGGCATTTGAACAAGCATTTTACAAGTGAATCTGTTATGCAAAGAATCATTCTTGTTAAGAGAGACCTTATTACCCTTGGCACCTACTGGGAACATCCCTAAATTTGGAATGGTGAAGTAAGGCCATATTTTAAATACATCCCTGGAAGGGATGAAATGCTCAGGACTTGGCAGAGTTTCACTTCTGACAGCCTGGTTCTTAAGCCACAAACAATCTAATTGTTAGTTACTACAGCTTTTTCCATAAGAGCATTTTGATGAATTGAATGTTTTTCCCTACTTCTTACTCATCTCATGTCCTCAGCAAAATTACTATATTGTGTTTACCCTGGTGCCTAACAGAGTGCCTAGTATGTGGTAGGAAATCCAGAACCGTTTGACAACTTGAGTCCTCATTATAAAACATACTGCTTATCTGCAGATCCTAAAGATCCTCAGTTACATGACATTATTAGAAGTGCACTAACGAGAGAACAGATTGATGGATCGTATGCAAGGCACACTTCTATACTAAAATAATTATACTACATGAATGTAAACTGTATTGAGTCATTTTAAAAATATTTTTTTAGTGTTGAAGAGGAGTACTAGGTAAGAAGTCATCCTTTATTATGGCCTTGTAGGTAGGAAAGACCTAGTGCTTGAGTTGTACTCTTGTTTGTAGACAAAGTTGTATTCTTTGTTTCTAGACAGTACCCTTTGTGTGTGGAACTCTTTTAATATGTTAGCCAAATATCAGAGCACTGTACTTTCTCAGCTAGCAGTTTTGACTTTTGTTGGTGACTTATTTGAATCTTTGGGAAACCAGTACCAACTATGGATATTAGAAACTGCCTGATCCAGAAGGGTTAGAACTTATGGATGAAGAGAGTATGGTAAAATGCATTAACTGTAGCTGAAGAGATTGGTGGGGAATTGTCTGACATTCTCTTGGTCCCCACATCTTCATTTACATGGTAATAAATTTCTCAGATAAGAATTGATCTGAATTGCTTGGTTTGATACAGGACACTTATTTAGAGTGTTATTTTGTGTTAAACGTTATACCAAGTACTTTCCATGGATCTCTTCATGTTATTCCTAGAAGTCTGGCTCTTAACCCCCTTTTAAACTCAGGTGGACATAAGTTAGGTAACTTGTTCAGGTTACACAGCTTACAAGTGGAACAGCCACTCTATGAACCCAGAAATACTTCCTAGGGACTTGCTCCCAAGCTCTCCCTCATTTTCCTTATCTGTAAATTCTAAGTAATACAACCTTACACAATTGTGAATATTGAGACAATGCAGTAAGGTACCAATGGCAATGCTAGTAGGTGCTTAATAATTGATAACTACTATTAGTAGTAATTTCTCTTAATAATTGTCATCATGCTAACAGGATACTTAGTATTTTTCATTTTAAGCCCTATTTTTTCTTTGCTAAACCAATCAAAATTGAAGGGAAAAAAAAAGGTAGCAAGTTGGAATAAGGACAAAAGTTGAAGTACTATACAAATCTCCATATTGACCCCCATTGGCTAAAAGTCATATTAGTGAATCTTGAAGTATTTTTTGCATTTAAAAAGGGGGAAATTAAGCCCTGGCTGGTGTAGCTCAGTGGATTGAGCACGGGCTGCGAACCAAAGCATCACAGGTTCGATTCCTAGTCAGGGTGCATGCCTGGGTTGCAGGCCACGGCCCCCAGCAACCACACATTGATGTTTCTCTCTCTCTCTTTCTCCCTCCCTTCCCTCTCTAAAAATAAATAAATAAAATCTTTAAAAAGGCGGGGGGGGGGGAATTAAGCAGTATCTTGAGGAAGTGGGACTGTACATGTTTGCCAGTCTTCCCCTTATTTTCCTTCTCACCCTATCCTCTGAGGGTTCAAAAGGGCTGTCCTCAGGAGATCAACTATATGGATCTTGTCCATACAGTTGGGTGGACTTAAGCTTTTCTTTTTAGTGGCAACTCCAAATGCCATTAAAGTTCATATTTTCAATTATCTTGTGTGGAATTATAAAATTCAAAGCAACTCATAAACTATGTGCTTTAATCTAGGAAAACAGAAGTTGGATGTTTTTATGTAATAATACAGTTTTTCAATAATTGGTAAGAATGAAAAATTTAAAGTCTGCAATGGGGCCATCTAAGATTGAGGTCCCATGTTAAGAGTTAGGAACACTATTGTTACCAAGAGAAATTATATGTTTTACCTGTGCATTTTTCTCACTGGTGCTCTTACTAGGTTAAAGCTTTAGAAATGATTTTTAATAATTTCAATTGTTTCTACTTTGGTTAATTTGTTTTCACTACTTCTTGGATAAGGACAGGAAGCGTCCATAGTTTAACTTTTTGAAACTTATGTTTGCATGTAATCCAGAAAAGAAAAATTTACACCCATATGTTTAAAATATTCATACATTTTTTCTAAAGCTTTCAAATTTTGAACCTAAATTTTAAAATCCATTCCACAAGAGCGCTATGTAGAATTTAGGTGCAATAACATTTCCTTATTTTTACGTATACATTTTTATGTTTCTGCAAGTTGGACTATTTTTCATTAGCAGAGAAGTTGGCCACCTTTATTGCATCAGATGTCCTAGATAAAAAACATGAATAAACCTGCTTTCTTCCTACCTAAGGAAAGTACCTGTGAGCAAGCAGCCAAGACACATATGTCACAGGAGTGTTGATATTACTGCTACGTGAAACATGATCCAAATCCTTGTTTGTCTAAGGCTTCAGATTTTCACATCTTCACATGCTCTAATTTATTAAGTAGCCTTTCACCATCTTATCACTGAAGCAAAAACTTTGGGCTCTGCGTGTGTGGTTGGGAGGGGTTCAAAATGTTGTGGGTCAGTGCTTAATATAGTGAACTAAATCTGACAGAAAACTGTATTTTCTGAACACATTTTCTAGGAATGCTGTACATTACCCTAAGCCCTGGGTTACAGCCCTAAGTAAAGAGGGAGAGACTATATTAACTCGAATTAAAAATGAATCAGATTTTAAAATGACAAGATTTAATTTTTTTTTTTATTTTGGGGGTGAATGAATCACTTCCAGGAGTAATAGAAGGAAAAAGAAAAGTTTGGGGTAGTGTCTCCAGAAACGTGTCAACGGATTCGTGCCTGCTTCCCTCTCTCTCTCTTTCTCACACACACACACACACAAACACACTGATTTCATGGTCTCCTCTTTGCTGGACAAGAAGTTCAAGTCCCCCAGGCGCACTTTGTGCCTTCCAGCGGTGGACCTCTGGCAGACATACCTGGAACATTACCTGAGCTACATTTCCTTGATTGCCAGTGGTTTCCTGTGCGCCCTCCGCTCTGTGGTGGTTTCCCATTCATGCTTTTTTTTTTTTTTTTTTGACAGCTGCGCGGCCCCCTGTGAGTGGAGAGTTTAGTGCCTCCTGCACCGGCCCCTGGGTGGGAGGGCCCAACCGCAACGGCACTCAGTGGTGCCCCGGGGTCGACCTCCCGGCTCCGGCATAGGTGGTTGCATTTCCGACTTTGCTCTGGCTCCACTCTGGGGGCTTGACGTACAAACTTCACCAGAGCGAGCTGAGAGGGAGGGACCGAGGAGGGGGAGGAGGCGGCGGGAGGTGCCTCCACTTAAGGGAGCCGGCTGGGTGCTGCCGCTTGGACGGACTCGCAGACGGAAGGAAGGAGCGGGCCGCGGGCCGAGCTGGGGATGCGAGCGGCCTCAGGGTGGGCAGCTGAGGGCTGGGGGTGCGTTTCTGGCCTCCCCACCAAGGGCAGACATGCTAGGGCGCGGGGTGGGCGCTGCTACAGGCGCGGCCTCGGTGTGGGTCTCACGGAAGAGGCCGCCAGCGTCTCATCCCCTCCCCCGAGGGGCCACGGGAGTCGGGAGTCGAAAGCGAAAGCGAGTGGTGCGGACTTTGAGTCCTGGGCGGCAAGGGTGGCCGTGGAGGAGGCGGGCTGGGCAGGCGGAGGGTGCTGTCAACACACCCCACCCGGCCCACGGGCCGTGCACACCGCCGGAACTCCCGGCGCCTCCTTAAAAGCGGCCCCCCAGCGTGACTCTTTTTCCCCCTTTTTTGTTACATTGTAGGAGCGGAAAGAATGTCGGAGCGGGCCGTGGATGACGTCAGGGGGGAGCCGCGCCGTGTGGCGGCGGCGGGCGGAGCAGCGGCCGCCGCCGCCGCCCGGCAGCAGCAGCAGCAGCACCAGCAGCACCAGCCACCGCAGCCGCCGCCGCAGCAACCCCAGCGACAGCAGCCGACGCTGCGGCGCCCACGGCAGGAGGACAGCGGCCCCAGCGCCGCCACCTCCTCGGCCACCTCCGCAATGGCGACCGTCGGAGAGCGCAGGCCTTTGCCCAGTCCTGAAACGATGCTGGGTCAGTCGTGGAATCTGTGGGTTGAGGCTTCCAAACTTCCTGGGAAGGATGGTGAGTGTCCACGCCCTCCTTTTCCCCACGCCCTGCTGTTCCAAGTCCTCTGACCCGTCTCCACCCCTCCCCCCTCCTGTGACCAGCCCCCTCGGGGGTCCGAGATACTATGCTCCGTTTGGTAAGCAGAGGTGCCCTCACCTACTCCATGCGTGCGTGAGCCTACGTCACACTCCCAGCCACTGACCTGCCTCTCCCCTCTTCCTGTATGTGTGTATTTCCTAGGGACGGAATTGGACGAAAGTTTCAAGGAGTTTGGAAAAAACCGCGAAGTCATGGGGCTCTGTCGCGAAGGTGAGTCCAGGCCACTGAAGGAATTTGTACAAGCCCCAGGGAAGTTCCTTGCTGGCTTCACCTGGGCAGGGAACTCTGGCCCACCTTACCCATTCCTTCCTGCCACGCAAGGATGCTGCCAGAGGAGGAGGAAGAAGTGGAGGGACGGATGGAGCTTTTGGAAAATCTGGTTTGGGGGGTAGGGGGTCTTCTCGTGATGGGGAGCGTCCTGGAACCCTCCAGTGGAGGCCTGGCCCCGTGCAGCCTGCGTGCAACCTGCGTACTCATTGATGATCGTTGGCCACCTGCAGTGTGAGTTCAAGTTTGACCCCTTATGGAGAAACACCAGTGAGGGAAGGAATTCTCTGCTTCTGAAAGCATTTCCCTAAATGCTTCAAGGGGCTCTAGGAAGGAAAGCTTGCTACCTGAAATTTTCTGCTGGAAGTCAAAATGAATTTTGAATTTTAGAAAAGATGACACTTTACTTCTACAGTCTTATTTTTATGGAATTTAAGTTATAAAAGTTCAACAGGATCATCACACCTGAGGAGCAGTTAGTCAAATTTTTGTGAGCTGCCAAGATTTGGGGGGGAGGGGCATGTGGTGAAATCAGAGTCTAATTAGTGGTCAGTTTTTAATAAAACTGGTGTAGGGATACTGTAGGGAAATATTTGTAGATAAAGGTGTGCTTCCCAATGAAAGTCAGATTAGCTATCTAAATTGTCAGACTTTCCTTCAGATTTTCATTTTCCTTGAACAGTCACCTTTGCTGACCAATTAATGCCTGTGGCAGGCCTGGCCACTGGTCAGAAAAGGATTCTGGAGGCCAGTAGACTTTAGGTTCAGTTCAAGTTATTTTTTTTCAGTGGTACTATGGACAAGGTCTTGAGGGAAATTTGGTATACAAAATATTTGTATATTCCCCTATGCAATTTTATTTCTCACATGCAGCCATTTATTTTGGCATATTGTCCAGAGCCCCAAAATAGGTAGAACTTTGGCAAGTGGACCATATTAAAGTCCAGATTTGGCCTTTTGTTAGTGTCTGCACATTCACTAATTTGGTTTTTTGAATTGGCCACTTATTGACCTTTTGGCACTAGGAAGAAGAGTAATTCCACTGGCAGCTCTTTCAGAGCTTCCAGTTGGAACAGATTAGCATATTAGTTGATTTTGAAAATGAGAATATTTGTTTGCAAGCAAAGGATAAAGGGGGAAAACACAGGACTTGATAGTGATGTTGCAATAGGAAAAGTCAGTTGTTAGTCCGGTTTTAGTGTTGAATTGGCAGCTTGCCTGGGCTTAAAAAATTAAAATCACTAGGTGGCAACTCTCATAGGAAGCAGTTGGAGTAGAGTTGTAGAGGACCTGACCCACTCTTGTTCTTAGTTTTCATTCTCTGGGTGTGGATACATTTCCCATAAAGGTTTCTAAATCTATGTGAAAACAGTGTATTAATTATTGGTGATTTCCCTATAGAGGGTAAGTGTAATAGTGTTTCACTAGGCAACTTGGTCTGAACTGAGACCCAGTTAATTTAGTGACCTGAACCCAGTTTCTGTTGTAATTGTTATTTTCTTCTGGGACATGCTCATTAGCAGGTTTTACCACAAAGATCTAAGACCTCTTAATTACCTTCTCAATGCACCAAGTGGTAATAGATTTGATTGTATGTGCTTCTGACCTATCAAATTATTAGTGATTGTTAAGGGTGTCATTTTTTAAAACTGCTCTAACCATTTAGAGGATGCCAAAGTGACCAGCTCATCTGAAATGCTGTTACCTGTTTGGAGTAGAAACAGAAGTTTTTAATTCAGTCAGTTCTTGATTCACTTGTGACTGAGTTTTCTAGTACAGTTTTAAAAAGCCAGTCACGAGAAGGTTCAGCACTCATGCAGTGGGCCTTTGTTTTTGTAACAAGGAGCTTATGTCAGGCTGCTTAAGAAATGAAAATATATTTTAAAATTATCAAAAGTTATTAGACAGTTCTTTGTTTTTGGTTACAATTACTTCCAAGAAATGGTATTTTGGAATTACATCCGTACGAAATTCCTCCTGTCATTAAGGTTAAATTGAGAAGAAATATGTAGATAACTTGATCATGTGAACAAAATACTAAAAGTGCGAATCTCTCCATCTTGGAGTATATCTGGAGGATGAATATGGGCTAGACTTCTTGACTTCTCCAATTCATGATTGAGGACTTAAGGTTAGAAACCTGGGTGTGAAAGGAGGATGCTTAACCTTGAATTAGTTATTTCACCTCTCAGAATCTACCTTTCCCTCTTTGTAAAAGGAGATGATAATATTTATTTCCCAAGGTTGTTGTAGGGTTTGAAATTAAATTAGGTAATGTATTGAAAATGACTGTACATGCTGCTTTCAGTCCTTTCAACTGCTGATAATCTGAGACCTGATTTCCTAACTTGATATCTATGTAGGTCAGGGATTTTTAACCAGGGACTTGAATGGACTTCAGGAGGTCATAGTCCCCCTGAAACTGTAGGCAAAATAGTATATATCTCTAGGGAAAGTGTCCAGAGATTTTGTTGGATTCTCAAGATGGTTTACATTCTGCACCCCCTAAATTCAAAGCTGTTAACCTAGGATTTCTGTCTTTTTTTTTTCCTTTTTTTTTCTTTTTCCTCTTGCCACTTATCTCAGCCAATTTCCTCATGGCAAGACTGCCCAATAGTTAATGCTGTGGGAGAGGTTGGAATAATTGATTTATATGGAAGTGAGATTATTTGTGGTTTAGCTGATATATCAGTCCCTCTTCCTATTAACACAGTAGGCAAATGTTAGAATAAAATTTCACTTATCTTTCAGAGGTCAGCCTCTTTTTAACCTGTATCCTTATGCTTTCATTGCCTTGCTTTCTTCTGTAATTTGTAGCATTTGATTGCACAGTCGATTTTGGTGGAAAAAAATTGGTAATACATTTGACTTCTTCCAAATGACTTAACTTAGAAGATGCATTACCTTTCTTTCCAAAAGATTTGTGAATTTCTAGAGTTCACAAAATTATGACTTGGTAAAATTGATAGGTATGAGATTAAGGTTTTCACATTAGTGCCTGAACATATAGGGAGACTTTAAAAATTAAATGCCTTAATTTCACAGCAATTTAAAAAAATTATATGGTGTCCTTGTGGGAGTCAACAGTGTAACTGGAAAATAACATTTTTTGTGGGCTGCCATCCCTAACTTCTAAGCCTGTTGTACAATATCAGAGTAGCCTGTCCTTTTCCTTCCTCCAGACATTTTACCTATCACCATGTGAAAGCATGATGGCCTTTCATTAGAGTGTAAGCTCCCAGAGGACAGGGGCATGGCTGACTGACATATACAAGGTGAAGCAAAAGTATGTTTACAGTTGTTCACATGGAAAATAATACAGTAACTAATAATGCAAAAATAAACTCTGTTTGGTGTACTCACAACTGTAAACCTACTTTTTGCCCTACTCTGTATTTAGCTCCTGCACACTTTGTGCTCAGTAAATATTTACCCCCGAAATGAATTGATTGGCCTATCAGGAAGATTGCATGGAGTCACTCAAAGATGAGGGGTTCAAGTGACCAATTTTCCATTGTGTTGTGACTCGTAAAAAAAAATAAAGCTACCTATTCTGTAGAGCGGTGTGCTTTATGTCCCCAGGGGAGGCCAGAGGTTGTCTTTCAGCACTTCCTGTTTGTTGCTCTCTCTGTTCTGAGTTTAGCATTCCATTTGCACCACAGGTAGCAAACACAAAGTCCTAGAGCCGAATCACGTTGTTTTATCTGTCTAGGCACCTTGTTTCTACTAGGCAGCAGTGCAGAGCTCCTTGCCCCCCAGTTAAGGAGTTACATTTACACAGTCCTAAAATTACTTTCAGCCCTTTGAAGGCAACTGTGAGGCTGATATGGCCCAGTGAAAATGAGTTTGACACCCCTGATTTACACTTTCCAGAAAGAGTGCAGACAGGATAGGACATCATCTCTGTTATCTCTGATGTTTAGGCAAGGGCATAAGATGGCAACACAGGATGATGTCCATACTTGACGACAGGTGATTTTTCATCACAATAACAGGAACACAGTTGACCCTAGAGTAAGATGGAAAAGAGGCTGATTGGCACCTATAGACAGCTAGGTTAAAAAAAAAAAATGGACTAGAGAGATAGGTAGCCTCAATCAACACAGACTGAGTGAACATAACAATACCACCTTTTTCTTTTCTAGGTAAAAAAGAAAAAATATGTTCATAATGAAAACAAATAGGTGTTTTGTGAAGTACTGTTAATGTAACATTATAGGCATAAAACCCTCTTCCTGAGGTTAAGAGCATTTTTATTTTTCTCTAAGATTTCTCTTATGTTCCCCACCCCCCAGGTTTGGGGGGTGGTGTGTGTGGACAGTTTGAAATATACAAAAATAGAGAAAAATATTTTAATGAGCCAACTTCCTTGTATCCATCATACAGCCTAAACAACTGAGTCACTGCCCAGTTTTGTTTCACCTCTACCCAGCTCCTCACACTAAATTAGTTTGAAGCATGTCCCAGACATCATATCATTTCTCTTGGTTTTCTTTTTTATGCTTCTTTGGACTTCAGCTTGTCTCCTACAAAATGAAGACTTAAAAGTGCTCTGTACTTTCTTTTGAAACAAGCCAGACTTCTGTTTCTGATGTCTCCTGTGAGTGTGTAAGGGTTTGGCAGGTGACAGTACTTACATTCTGCCTACATCTCAAGTGGAGTTTGAATTTCAGCCAGAGACAGTAATCTGCGAGATCCAAGTTCACTGCATCAGAATCATATTAATACGCATTTGAGTACTCAGGTGATCCAGTTGCAGATTGCCCACATTTGATGCTTACCTCTATGAGCTCTAGGTCAGCATCCTTGGTGACAGTTCCTGTAGGTAACTCCCTACAGACTTAGAGAGATATCCCTACAGCAGGAAGTCTTTCTCCTCCTTGTGGCACCTTAGCTATTTTGATGCAAACTATAGCCTGTGGGCCAAATCCTGCCTGCAACCA